GAAAGCCTATGCATGTCAGACACTGAGTACCTTGGCTCTGTTCTTTTGTGTACATTTAGTCCACACAGTTTTGTCTTGACTGAAAATTTCCAATCTAGTCAGTTAATTATCCTACCAAAGGAAGTTCTGTAATGTGCAGTCTGTTCTTATAGACTGCTTGGTTGTCCTTGATATTGGCCTGTACAGAGAATGTGGTTTCTCATGGGAGTACCTCAGGGTTCTTTTCCTTTATGTTTAGCCTTTGATATTTTAAACATGCTTTGTGTTTTGTTCTATATTTAGATCTTCTCCCTTGGATACTGTCCAACTGGGGAATGGCTTGCAGTAGGAATGGAAAGCAGTAACGTGGAAGTCCTGCATGTAAATAAACCAGATAAATATCAGCTGCACCTGCACGAGAGCTGTGTGTTGTCACTAAAGTTTGCATATTGTGGTAAGTGTTAAAAAAAAAATGTTTTATAGTATCACACACAGCTCAACGGTTATGGTTGAATCTATATTTTAGCTTTTTTTTTTTTTTCTTTAATTTACTAAATGTGACATATATATTCTAATACCGGAAAATGATAGGATAGATTCTTTAGCCAGTGTGTTGGTCATATGAATAACCACTTTTATTGAATGCACCCTTACTACAGTACTTTAGTTTTGGTCACAGCTATTAGGTTTTCTTTCGAGCCTGTACCGTTGAATATACATTTTGAAACACTTGAACTGATGTTTTTGCCAAAGATTGGTGAAAGATAGCACATAACCATATATATATATATATATATATATATAAAATTATTTTTTTTTTTTTTTTTTTTTTTAGGCTTTCTTTTATTTTCATCTAGTGATCCAGCTAGTTAGTCTGTTTTTCAAGAGAAAAATGGGGGTGTGTCAGCAGAAGTCTGATCACTTGGAAGAGACAGGTTCAGTTCTCAGCACACTGTGCTCTCATGCCACACTGTGCTCTCATGCTAGTCAGTTCAGTTCTCAGCACACTGTGCTCTCATGCCACACTGTGCTCTCTTGCCTAGTGTGGTCTACTTTTTAATAGGAAAGCAGAGCTGCCAGGAACACCAGGTATTTCACATGAAGCAATACACAAGAGGACATGGTACAGCGGATACAAACTAGGAATATGAAATTTTGTGTTTACATATTCTTTAACCACTTGCCCTCCTGAGGATTTTCCCCCTTCCTGACCAGGCCATTTTTTGCATTATGGCGCTGCATTACTTTACCTGACAATTGCGTGGTCATGCAACGCTGCACCCAAATGAAATTTGTCCTTTTTTCCCCATGAATTGAGCTTTCTTTTTGTGGTATTTGATCGCCTGTATGGGTCTTTATTTTTTGCACAATAGGCAAAAAAAGATCGACAATTTTGAAAAAAAAAAAAACAATATATTTTGGACTTTTTGCTATTAAACCTGTCTAGTAGAAAATTAAAATCAAATTTCGTCATAAATTTAGGCCAAAATGTATTCTGCAATGTCTGTCTTTGCTATAAAAACAAAAAATCCCAACACGTGTAAATGAATTGGTTTACATGAAAGTTACAGCATTTACAAATGGTGGTATAGACAGTGGGATTTTTTTTTTTCTACTAGTAATGGCGGTGATCAGTGACTCTTAGCGGGATTGCGGTGGACATTCTGACACTGGCGGGAAGCTAACTTGGTGTCACTGACACCCCAGTGACACCAATACCGTGATCAGTGCTAAAAAAAAATAGCACTGACACTGTACTAATGGCACTGGGCAGGAAGGGGTTATTGTGAGGAGCGATCAAAGGGTAACTGTGTGCTGGGAGTTTTTTTTTTACTAGGGGGTGTGTTCTTCACTGTAAGCACACTGTTCGGGATGGCTGTACTGTACTGTAGGGATGTGCCATCCCTAGCAGTGTGCTGGAGCTGACAGAAAGATTGTTTGTTTGTAAACAGAACAGTCTTCCTCTCTGTCGGAGATGCTCGGTAATTACCAGCCAAGGCGGAGATTGACATCGGCGCCCTACCCCGGAACAGCAACATCGTGTATATATACGTGATTCTGCGCACAGGTGCCGCCCTGTAGCAGTATATCTGATATAGGGCGGTCTTTAAGCGGTTAATCAAAAGACTGTTATGAAAAAAAAAAAAAAAAAAGCTTGGCTGCAGCAGCTTTATGGGTCATATTTTCTTGCATACTTTAGTGTCTACTTTACTGTTCAGCATGTGATGTCTTTTGTTTATTTTTCTCAGGTAAATGGTTTGTGAGCACAGGGAAAGACAACCTTCTTAATGCCTGGAGAACACCATATGGAGCCAGTATATTTCAGGTAGTCAATATAAACAAATGCATATGTGACAAACACCTCTCTCCTTCAAAACATAAAATGTGGATTAATCTGTTCTGTTTTTTATAGTCCAAAGAATCCTCGTCGGTGCTGAGCTGCGACATCTCTGCGGATGATAAATACATTGTCACTGGATCAGGGGACAAGAAGGCCACAGTATATGAAGTAATCTACTGAAAGACTAGATTTTTATTTTGTACAAATTATCTGGGCCAAAATATACCTTTTACATATCGGTAGGAAAAACAAGCTGACTTTCTAATCCCGATTATGAAACTTTTGCCTGTGTATATAAAGAAAATGCAATATGGACTTGCTGTGTCTCCTACACATGTGGATATGACTGCCTGGAACAAGCTGAAGTCAACATATATTGAACATATGTCTTAATATGTCTGCTGAAACCTTTTTTTTTTAAGCATCTATTTTTATCTTACATTTTAATGTGACTCTCAGTGAGATCACAGATATTCTCAGCATGGTAACTTACCAGATTCTTGAAATACAAGGTTCTGTGCTTCGTAGAATTTTTGTTTTTTATTTGTTGAAGGTCAGTTGTAAAAATGTAAATATATTTGTTTTCCTACAGTAAAGTCTTTAGTACCAACAACATTTTTATTTTTCTTTTTTAACTGTCAATATGTAAATGGATTTTCTTGGTGTATATAGGATTTGTAATTACTTGCATTTACCAAGGTTGTGACGGTCTATTCTTTTACTACACTGTGATAGGTCTAGTCAAGTTGTAAATGTTATTTGAAATAGCATATGCACAGTAACTTGACACCTGATTAGCTGTATGTTTATAATTCTGAATCCGCTAAGTTTTAAAGGTCTGACTTCTCTTTCTCTAGACAGTATTCTGTCCTCAAAACTTACTCTTGTAGTGTGACTGTCGATCAATTTGTTTTCAAAACATTTATTTCCATTTCAAAAATCTCAGACTGTTGATCCAGAATTTATGAAGAACCATTTTTGAAGTGTGTATATAAATTAAAATGCCTTTCTAAGAGGATTAGGTGTATACACTTTTTTTTGTATGTTTTGTTTCCATTTGATGTAGTCAGTCTAGATGAATGCTGTCATTTAATGGCATCCTAATCAAATCTCTGTTAAAAAAAAAAAAAAAAAAAAAAAAAAAAAAAGTGCAGACTATGGGAACATGTTTTTATTTTTTTTTTATAGTCATCTTTAATACTGAGAGGCTTTTGCTCCCCTCTGTGGTTAACAAACAATAGAGAAGTCCCTGTAAATAGAGTTATGCAGAATAATTTTGCTTCTGTTACTCTAGTTTCTTCCTTTAATTTTTTTTTATAAGCAGATAAATATGATGAGCCTGCTCAGTATTTTTGCCATGTGTAATTGGCTTCTTGCGGGTTTTAGAACCTAAAACTTGTTGTGCTGCTCCCCCCTTATTAAATATTACATCATCAAATTTTGGGATGATGGCTGTCCAGCTGCACATCCATCACACACCTGATTTATTTATTTTAAGATAAAAACATTTAGTGAGCAGTAATCTTTGCATCATATTGTAAGCCTTCCATAGAGTCCATTATGAATGTTTTTATAAAAGCAAAGACTTTCAGTTTCTGTTAATGAAGTCTATACTTCATTACTATGTCTGAATAAAGCTTAATACACTATTTTCTGGTATTCATTTTTGTTTCCAAGTTCAAATGTTGAAAAAAGTTTTCAGCTTATAGCATTTGTTGTTGAGATATTTTGGATGCTGAAAAATATGTATTATAACTAAACATTTTGTAGTATGTTGACATGCTGGATATAAAAAGTGTTTATCATGTACACAGTATTGTGTACATTGATAAAGTATCTGATTATTTTTCTGCGTGGATGAGTGAAGGGTTCCCTTTTACCTGAATGTAAAACAAAAACTTTTTTTTTTTTTGTATAGCATGGAAGGGTTAGAATCTGTCAGGTTTTTATTGTCTGTCTCTGCTGGAAAGATTGACTCTCATTTATCCTGGTGATCATTGTCTCTCATATTGAGATGGGAAATCTAATTTTTCACAAGAACAGAAATCTTCCAGGCGGAAGCCTGCTAGTGACAACTGTCCCAGAGGAGATCCTTCTCTTTTGAGAAATTTACTTCCGGTTTAAAAAATGCAGCAGGAAATAAAGTGAAATCTCCCCTGATGGAACAAAGAGATGAGCTCAGTGTTCAGATGATGATCCAAACCCACATGGCCAAGCTTGCCAGGAAGCGGTCACCTGTAATGGAACAATCATCCGTGGGGGGAGGGGCGGTATTCCATACGCTATAGCTGCATGTATACATGCCCCTTGTATATGTGCAGCTGGCGGGCAGGGAGTGCCCCCCCCCACAGATGACCTGGCCCATTACAGATGACCGCTTCCTGGTGGGTTCTGAAGAGCATCCAAACCCGCCTGCGCTTATCCTTAATAAAGACCAGAAACAAACCTGACAGTTGTCTTAATCATTCCCTATTCTGTATAAAGCAAAATAATATATCTTTGTATACACTTAACTGCATCTGCAACACAAATAATGTCAGCTGGGTTGAAACTTGTCAGTAAGAACAAGCATAAGCAGACCATCTGCACTTGTAACTCATCTCCTAAAATGTGGCCATCTGTATGATATTCCTTTATGTTACTAATGATTGCAGCTGGGAGCACTCGTGTCCTGTTTTTTTTTTTTTTTTTGTTTTTTTTTTTTAAACTATGACCTGAAAGTCACCTTTTTTTTACAATTTAATTATTTATTTTGAGACAAGATGTCAAAGGTTTTAACTAAAGTGGAAAAAATAGGTGACCTTTTAATTATCAGATATCTACTAAAAGAACTTTGAAAATTAGACTACTGTAACATGTTGGTGTCAGAAACAACCATGTTAGATTAAAGGAAACCAGTAAGGGCATTGCATGAGAATCTTAAATTCTCTCACACAGAAACAACATGTTGGCTCAGGGCCATGCTGTAAGGCCCTAAGGAAGGCTGCCCTGTCTTTTGCCTGGGTGCAGTTCTGACAATTGTCATCTAGGTTATGGAGAGAGAAAGAAAATTGTGTATGTATATGTGAAAATATAATATATATACACTTTGTATACTCTGTAGGGGGTGCATGCACCGCCATTGGCGGCTGGACATGTCATGCAACAGGTCCTGACCGGAGATTCCCAGCCAGCGATCGCCGAGTAATACTGACAGGGGAGAGATCTGTGTGGCCGCGGATGTCAATCACCGGGTCCCAGCTGGTGATTAGCGACAATCACCGTCGGGGAGGAAGACTGTTTTGTTTACAGTCTTCCTCCCTGTCAGTTTGAGCACACTGCTCGGGATGGCTGTGCACAGCCACCCCCTGCCCCCTAGTAAAACATTCCCTGCACTTAGTTAACCCTTTGACTTTCACATTAACCCCTTCCTGCCCAGTGCAATTAGTACAGTGTTAGTGCTGGTTTTTTTTAGCACTGACCACTGTATTGGTGTCACTGGGCTTGTCAGTGACACAGTTCCCCTCCCCCTGTGTCAGAATGTCTGCCGCTTGATAGAGTAAGGGAGAGATGAGGGGGAGGGGCATGAACATGGTGCCGTGAGCCCCAGATGCCCGCCAGCCTTGTGTGCAGCCCTGTCCTGATCTGCCCTATCGAACACCCAGAGCCTAGTCCTACATGAAAGCCTGGGTGGGAGCAGAGAGTCACAGCGGCTCTGAGTCCGGGTGTCCTGGTGGTGGTCCCAGAGGCGGTTAGTGTCGGTGGAGTCTGGCCCTTTACCCGTGGGAGAGGCGACAGGTTGGCGAGGCTCGGTGGTCCCCCGGGAGCAGGTAGCGGTATTGGAGAAGAGGATGGTGAGAGCGTCCCTGTGATAACTCATGTGACAGATGGTGGTAATTTTGAAAAGGACAAGCTATTTGCTGAGCAAACTGTTGGTGCTATATCTCCCTACTACTGCTCTCATCACTTCCTGTTTATACTCCACTCTCCTACTGACCTGAACGCCATAACTGGTAGACATACGCACTCATGTACATCCCGCTCCCATGCCACCTTACTCACCCTTCTTCTCCTAACCTCAGGATATTTCCCCAAACCCTGGTCCTCTACTACCTCGCCCCACACACCAGGCTTCCTCTTTCTTTCATGAACTGCCGCAACCCCCTCAATCTAATATCTGTCCCCTTGCTCCCCAAAACCACCCTCCCGTTTTCATGTGCACTCTGGAACGCCCGATCGGTCTGCAACAAGCTCACCACCATCCACAACCTCTTTGTCTCCCGCTCCCTTAACCTCCTAGTGATCACTGAAACCTGGATCCAAGCAGCAGACTCTGCCTCCTCCGTGGCACTCTCCTATGGAGGTCTCATCTGGACCCACTCACCCAGACCCAGCGGTCGGAAAGGTGGTGGGGTTGGTATGCTCCTGTCACCACAGAGCACCTTCCAAGTCCTCCCAAACCCTCCCTCTCTATCCTTCTTGCAAGACTCACTGCACCTGGCTATTCTCTCCAATCTCTGAGGATTGCAGTGATCTATTGGTCTCCTGGACCTGTGTCCCGCTTTCTCGACAACTTCTCCACCTGGCTACCCTTCTTTCTCTCCTCTGAGCTACCCACTATCATCCTTGGAGACTTCAACATCAATAACCTGGCTACATCCCAACTCTTCCACTTAACCTCTTTTTTTGCACTTGCACAGTGTATACAGTCCACCACTCACTCCGACGGGAACACTCTAGACCTTGTCTTCTCTCATCTCTGCACTCCCTACAACCTCACAAACACTCCCTTTCCTCTCTCTGATCACGTCCGTCTCCTCGTCCTCAAACACCTATCCTTCCAAACGTCAAACAATCACCAGCAGAAACCTCTGTAACTTGAACCATGCTCCCTTCCACTCTGCAGCTGACCAACTTTACGACCGTATCCTTCCCCTGTCCTGCCCTGACCGGGCCACTACTGTCTACAACAACTCGCTGTCAGCCGCTCTTGACTCACTTGCACCCCCAACAACACGAACACCCCCCGACCGCTACAACCCTGGCAGACTGACCACACCAAAAATCTCAAACGACGTAGTTGTGGGCTGGAGCGACTATGGTGTAAAACCAAATCCCAACAAGCATTCACCCAATATAAATCTGCCTTCCTAACATGCACTTCCTCCCTTCATGCTGCCAAACAAGCCTACTTTGTTACC